AGATCTACAGAGTTCTTGCAGCTAGTGAAATGCCTTGGGGGTCAATGCTTTTAACACACTGCACTAATACCACAATACACATTATACTACAATACCAGCAAAAGACAGGAAGGAGTTTAGTATCAAGAGAGAACCCTTTTGTTTTTGTTTTGTTTTGAAAACAGCATCTCATTATGTAGCCTTGACTGTCTTGGAACTTACTATGTAGACCAGGCTATCCTTGAACTTACAGAGATTCACTTGCTTCTGCCTATCAAGTGCTGGAATTAAAAGCAGGAGGCGCCACTATGCCCGGAGAAGAGAGAACTTTAGCTGGGCAGTTAGTTCCCAGCATTCAAGAGGCAGAGGCAGGCAGATCTCTGTGTTTGAGGTCAGCCTGGTCTACAGAGCTAGTTCCAGGAAAGGCTCCAAAGGTACAATGTTGAAATTGGCATTAATTGGCATGAAAGAAGAAAAGGGAGGCTACAGAATTATATCTGTAATACCATTTTGTTTTGTTTGTTTGTTTGTTTTTTGTTTTTTGAGACAGAAATTTCTCTGTGTAGCTTTGGAGCCTATCCTGGCACTTGCTTTGTAGACCAGGCTGGCCTCGAACTCACAGAGATCCGCCTGCCTCTGCCTCCAGAGTGCTGGGATTAAAGGTGTGCGGCACCAACACCCGGCTCATTTTGATCTTCAAAATGACACTATTATAAGAGATTTATGTAAATTTCTTATACACAGGGAAAATAGTTTGGGGGAAAAAAACGATGCACACCCAAATGGTCATAGTGGATTTTCTCCGACAGACAGCACTGTAAGTCCTTCACTTTTCTTCCTGATACTTTTCTGTATTTGGGGAGTAAGATGATGATACCCCATTTTTCACTATCTCAGGAGAGCAACGAAGCTGTTTCTGAGGTTGTGACTGAAAGGTTCAGGCCTGCCCCTGTTACCTGGTGGAATCCACTCAGGCAATACCCTGGTCAGCCCAAGGTTCCATGGGAAAGAAGTCTGCATGCAGGTGCAGAGGATCCCTTTAAAAGATAAGCCCCTGCACCTTTACGCTCTCTCTCTCCCTGTCTCTCTCTCTCTCTCTCTCTCCTCTCTCTCCCCCTGTCTCCCTCTCTCTCTCTGTGCTCTCCCGTCTCTGTTTCCCCACTCTGTCTCTCTATGGCGACCGGCCATGGCGGTCAGCCATTTACCCCTGTTCCTCTTCTTACCCACCCCATTCTGCATTATAATAAACTTATAGTCAATATGTCTGTCTCGCAGTATTTCTCTTTTCTTCTTTTTAAACAAAAGAATAACAGTGACGACTGCATCTGTTGCTGTGCAGTTGCATACGGAAGTACTGCTAGTTAACTTTCAAAGAGAGCATCAATGTTTCAGCTGTGCTCAGCCAGACAGAGGCTCTGGGCTGCACACTGGACTCAGCCCAGAGGTGGCTAGTTTTTCAGCACACACAGATGTCCTGTTTCCATGACAGTCCTGCAGATGTGGCTGTCAACATCTCTGGCCATCTGACCATATACAGCCTAGCTGGATTTCCGGTTTTCAGCCTCAAAGTGTCTCTGTTCCTTGTTGCTTCACTAAACACACTCTGACCTTGGGCTGATGAGATTGTTGAGTAGGTAAGGAGCTTACTGCCAAGCCTGGTGGTCAGAGTTCAATTCCCAAAGGCCACGTGGTGGAAGGAGAGAACTGACTCCTTTGAGTTGTCCTCTGAGTGCCATTGTATGCTCCTCCCGTCCCACCCCAATAAATGAACAAATGCTTAATCCTTTAATTCCCGAATGGGAGTTATCAGCAGGTAGATGTCTGTGAGTTCAAAGGCAGTGTGGTGAACATACCAGGTTCCAGGCTAGCTAGAGTAACATAGTGAAAGTCTGTCTCAGAACAAACAAAAAATCAAAATCAAAACAAAATGTGTACACACACAAAACAACCAACCTGCCTCTATACGGACCCCTGGGACTTCAGGAGCAATACAATAATTTAAGTAGCCCACAGAGATTTGGCAAAGGCAGTGTGCAGTTCTCTGCTCAGTTAATCCATCTACCTGTCTTCATCTTTTTGCTAATTTTCCGAGTCATCTATTTTTACTTTTTTAATTGAAAATTTCTTTTAAAGCTGAGCAGTGGTGGCACACGCCTTTAATCCCAGCACTCGGGAAGCAGAGGTAGGTGGATCTCTGTGAGTTCGAGACCAACCTGGTCTACAGAGGGAGTTCTAGGAAGCCAGAGCTGTCACACAAAGAAACCCTGTCTCAAAAAAACAAAAACAAACAAACAAACAAAAAATGCTTTTCTTTTGAGACAGGGTCTCACATACAACCCTGGCTAGCCTGGAACTCATTATGTAGATCAGGATGGCCTGCCTCTGCTCCCCACATGCTGGGATTAAAGGCTTGCTTTGTTTCATGAACAGGGTCTCTGTGACAGGTGCTTAAAGGAGCTGAAACAAAGGGCAGTCATCCTTTGGTGTCTGAGGGGACTGGTTCTGAGTCTCCCATAAACTTTAAATCCTCTTTAGATTGCTTACAGTTCATAAAACAATATGAACACCATGTGGTGTGTGTGTGTGTGTGTGTGTGTGTGTGTGTGTGTGTGTGTGT